TTTTGTAATTAAAAACAGAATTGTCATAATCATAGTTGTTTACAGTATACAAAAAAAATCAGCAATTTATCCATTTTATCTCAGGATGCATAAATGAGAACACAAACATTCATTATGGTACAGTACTGTACTGACTGGCATAAGAAACAAGAGAGGGTCAGTTGTTATGATTTGCAGGTGCTGACCATAATGAAATCCACTTAAAATAGTTTCCTTTTTAACATACAAGTGGCACTTCTGTCTATCTGTATCCACAAGTTGCTACCTATATGGCACATGTAGCTACAGCTAATATAACCATGAGTGATACACAAATATAAACATTAACTATACACTGTAAAACACTATGTGATGAAACTTCCCCAAATGTAATCACATTTATAACATAATGGAATGATTTGCATTAGGAAATCCATACTTTTTTCCACATTTTGGTTTTAAAGGACTGATGATGAGTATAGAGCTTTAAAGGTTCAGGATATAAAATTCTTATAGATATACAGAAAATGAAGACTGGTGTGTACATTTGGAATCAGTCAGTAGAAATACAAACATTATTGAAAAAATATGGAGCTTTGTTAGTGACAATGATGGTGATAGTAAAATGGTAAATGTTAAGTAATGCATTGAATGAAGGAAGAGCTGCATAATACTCGAAAATGTTATATGTATAGTGAAACATTTTATTACATAATGCAGTAGTAAGCCAGTCAATATATCTAGTTTTGAAAGATTTGGGTTTACTCTTTATTATATTATTTTATTGTGGAGGTGGTGCATCAGAGCGCTTTTCCTGGAGTATTTTAATTTCTTTTCAAATGTCATCCTATATGTATTCATATGTAATACACTTACTGACTATTTTAATTTCAGAAAATACAATCACCAAACATATGATGATGATGGGTATTAGGTTACTTCACACTAAATCCAAACAAATGATACAGTACTACAGTATTAAAATTTCTGGGTCTTGTCCATTTAACAAATTCCCCCAAAAGACTATGTATAGTTCATTTCATAATTATATAATTACATTTCACTTATTATTTTTCATGTATTTATATAATTACACATTTATTTACAGTCATGCAGTAAGGGTGTAAGAATCCCATAGTGGGTACACCTCATAAGGGCTCAGTATAACATACTTGTTTACTTGTTTCTTTCAAGTGACACCCCCTCACAGATCCCCAGCTGCTAAATGGACTACTGTCAACACTATATTTACTTAATGCAGGAACCCATCCTTAACAGTAAAGACTCTTCCATTAGTAACAGAATGACCGACATACAGTAATCAAAACATCTTAATTACTGTCCAGGTATATACCTGTACAGTACTAATCAGCCATGCCCAGAGTTTACCTTTGTCCCTAAAATTTTCATTCTAATCCATAGTTATCTAACAATAAAATTTACTGTGCTTTTTCAGTTACAGTATTATTATTATTTTTAAATACAGCATCACTGACTGTAAAGTTAATACAGTATTCATATTCCACAGAGGGGAGTGGGGGGGTATCTCATGAGTGAGGTCAGTACCTCTTATAATATAGTTTTCTTCACTGAACGTACACATTTTATCATAGAGTATGAAGTAGTAGCTCTGTATAACTTGCTTTATATGCTATAGGTACACTAGTTCTACTAAATTAATGGTAATATTAAAACATATAGAATAAGATAGTAATATATCTTAAAAAATATTTGTATTACATGAAATGTTTGAGGGATTTCATCTTATTCTAATTATACAAATATCTGAATATAAACTTTATATGACTTGTCCAATTTGCAGGAGGAAGGAGACAGCGACATGATATGCGTGACGTGGCAAGCTCTTGCCAGCCCAAGGAGAGATGACCATGCAACCATGTTCCTCTCTACCTCACAAGGAAAAATTTACCTTTCCTTTGTAAGACTGATAACATCTCGCCTGGTCACAAGTGGAGCATTTTCAATACGGATTGCTAAGATTATGCTCCATGATCCATGCTAAGAAAGTTCGAGAACAGCATTGGGTAAACATTTATGGTTTGCAGCAAGCACTAATTTTAAAAGTTATTATTTTCCTATTTTTGATACCTGTTGATTTATATCATAATTCCACTAATTTATTGCAGACCCAAGACTATCAACGAGTTAAGAGACTATCTTTACCAAGGTCCCAATATATAATAAAATAAGATATTCACAGTTCAGGTATCAGAGTATAGTTTGAATCAGAATATTAGATATGTTGCATTATATACTAGGCAGCATCTTAGACAAAAATATTAATATTATATATGTTAAACAAAAATCTTGAATAAGAATAAATGTGAAGATATTACCGTAGGTGTCAAGACCATCCAATAAATATCCAATTCTCTAGTTACTATTAAATATCAGTGATGTAGCAGCAGTTAATTTTATAAAGTGACAAGGAATTTTTCTAGAAATACGACAACAGAAGATAAGTGAACATCATCTAGTAAATACATTACTGTATACTGTTAATTATAATACACAGAAGACTATGATGCATTATACAACAATCTGATAGAGAATATGTTCAGATATCAGCTATGATGATTCAGTTTTGCAAGTATTACAATTAAGAAAATGCAAACTGTGCAGAGTCTAAACTAGAATTTTCACTTAAATTATAATAATGGACGTAAAGAGCCCCCATATATGCCTGGACATTTCTACACTACACTAGGTCCTCTTTATTTCCTCCCCCATTAAATCTAATTACCCTCCATGGCATCACTACATTAAACTCAAGAATTGTTACTTTAAGTCAAAAGTTCCTTCAATTCATTGCAAATTAACAGCTCACAACATTAGACTGTATTGGAAAAGAGGCTTAGGAGTTCCTGAATATGAGTTTTGACTACTGTATAAGTATTTGTCCTGGTACAGTATACCGTACCATATATTGTACAGTACAGTACTGAATTGGAAGCAGTCCTTAAATCAAATTGATTTTATTGTATTAATATTGTTAAGTAAATGTAAGCCACTACTCATGTCTTTCATATAGCAATTACCTTTTGTATTAAAATAATTCATTACCTACTTTAAATAACAGTTTCCAAAGAACAAGTTTATATACTGTATTGTGAATGGTCTCCCTGGAGGACAGCTTCTCTACACATACAAGTTTTAATTAATTTTTCCAACTCACCAGTTTCATATAAATTGTAAAGAATATTACAATAACACTTATTTTGGGTAATAGGAAAGATTCAAACATCACTTGCCATATGTAAAGTTTGTCACCTCAGGCCACCGCAGTCCTAAACTAGCCGACTCTTTCATGACATGCCCTATGTCTGCTAGAATGGTGATCAGTTTTACCCTTGTACCCTTCAAAATAAATTGTACAATAACAACAAGGAGTTTCAACATACAGTACTCTGTATTAAAAAATAATCAATACAGTATAACTAGAAAATATACATTTGCAAAACTTTTTGGCTTGTAAAACATTTGGCACAAAAATTACAGCCCTAAAATCTTGAAAAGACTTTTAAGTCAAAATATACCTTGCTTAAAATTCCAGGGAATTACCATCTTTTTAAGGGCATCTGTAAGTACCATCAAAAAAAAAAAAAAAATATATATATATATATATATATATATATATATATATATATATATATATATATATATATATATATATATATATATATATATATATATATATATATATATATATATATATATATATATATATATATATATATATATATATATATATATATATATATATATATATATATATATATATATATATATATATATATATCGGTATTTATAAAATAATTATTATAATGAGTACCTCCTCCCCCCCAAATAATGAATAATGGTAATCATGAACAGCAAAGAAAAAAGAAACAAGCATTCACAGTACAATACAGTACAGTAATTACACACAGGTTCAGCCAACTTTTGTCCTGCATGGCTGAATTTCAGACAACTGGACATCAACTACACCAAAACTAACTACTGTATACTACAGCACATTCATTCATTCATTAATCATGTACAATACTTGAACAGTTGTTTGGATGCAAATTAATAATGAAGTTAATTAAACTGTACTAATGCACTTGGCTATAGTCAGCAATATACGATTTGGAAAGAATAATTAAATTTTGAAAAACAAACAAAACAAAACCGTATCATTCTCTTGGTAATAGGATGGCCAATTGAGCTAACAAATGTTAATTTTGCTAAGTCACTAACTGTTATAAGAAAACCACAGTAACGTACAGTACTGGCGCAGCAAATTTAGTAATTCATTAATAAAACAGCTTAGACAAGTGATTTATGACGATGAGCCTTTGTCCAGAAATTACTTAATTTTTCTAATAAGTAATACCCCTGTCATATGTGTTCATTATCCTTATCTTATAATTATCATATTTAAATATTTTTCTTCCATAATTTTAAGTCACCTGACAGGACTAAACTTCATCTATCCAAGCTACTATATTGAGAAATTATTCTTACAGCACAGGACTATGTTGCTTTCAACTGTGAAATTGTAATTTTAATGTTTTCTTTAACATGGTGTATATTACTGTGCATAAGCCACCAATTAATAGACATCTTGATTTATATACCATTTCTGGCTATTGTCCACACTCACACACACATGTATACACAAATAAATTTGTTTTATAATGATAAAAAAAAAAAATATGGAAATGTCCAAAATTGCACACACTGCACCCTGGAAAAAAGATGACTCGGACATATTGAACAAGCAAAATGCGTAAGTGGCTAAATCTCTTCTCTAATCTTTTTCAAACAACTTCAGTTTTCCTTCAGTTTTGTTTAAAATATTGCAGTTATCTCCAAAGAACCTCGGTTATCAACTTATTCTGTACCGTTGATTTACTGTACTGCATTTATAATGGAAAATACTTTTATTCTTTACCCATTTCTAAGAATATGCTGTAACTTTTCTCAGTTAGACCTTCAGGATTATAAGAAAAACATTATTCCTCTGTCCAATGTTTTTTTTCCTCCAGCAATTGCTATTTTGTGAAAATTATTTAAAACACATCCATGACTACCCATTCTTCAGCAGCTATGTACTGCACGTTTCTTTCTCCCCATTTTATTATGACCCCCTCCTAACTGACCCTTCTATAGAGGCCTCAGTCCCTCTGCAAGACAGCTGCTCAGCCATCGTTCCTTAATGTTCTTTGGGGCCATGGCTGGGTTGCCGGAAGCCACTTGGTTTCTGGCCGCGTATGGGAGTGTAACCAGCTGAAAGGCAAGACACAGAGTTATGTCCCAAAACACTGAAGTAAAGCTTGGTACTGCATATTACAACTACAATTAAACATCAGGAGAGCAATACTCTCAAGACCGATGCTCTAATTACAGGTAAAGTTGGAGACAGGATTACGAGGCTAAGGTAAATTCAGATTAAGGATGCACCAATAAACAGGTTACACACAAAATTACTTTGAAGTCCACAAATCCTCATAGCTGGTATGACACTTCAAAGTGACTAGATAATAATCATAATGTATAAAGTAACACATAAGTAAACCAGCATTGTCCGGATCATCAATTCATTTCTTGGTCTATGACAAAAACAAAAGTAAATCAGTCCTGTGTACAAGTAATTTATGGGATAATAATTATAACTCTACACATTTTTAGTCACTGAAATAGGTAAACGTAATTTCTAAATGATGAATCACAAGAGATATGTCAATACAGACTTCATGAGTAAGTGCTAGATTTGTAATAATAGTATTTTGCATTTTTAAGTACAATACCCGATAATATTGAGGAATTAACCTCGTCTATTCCAATCATGAAATGTGTGTAAAGTTATATTTCTTTTCTACCTTTACAGAAAGCACTGGACTGACAATTGAAATCTTTAAAATGTCTCGGAATGAAAATTTAAGATTGTATTCCTGGCAGTGATGGTTGTACTTGATGTGACTCTGCTTCCTTATTGGGGAAAAAATTACTACGATCACATGTATATAGAAATTAGTCACATTTAATGAAGCCAGTCAAGGAAATGCTAGACTTTCACAATAAATGTTTCTTCGCCCGTTTCTGATATAATAACGTCAACCAAGCATGATTACTCTGCAATACATGTAAGTTTTGTAATTCCCAAATACTAAATTACTTGAAAAACAACGTGTATTAGACAATGAATGTAATCCATTCAAGCTTAAGAAAGCAACATAATTACTGTTCAGTTTTCAGTCATAAAGAGAAAGAAAGTAATCATATATATCTGTTAGTGGACCTCCATCATTAGAACATACTGTCCTGTACTATATCATTCTATAGTCACCTAAAGTTTTTCATTTTAAAGATGTGATTTATTGCCTACAGGTAGACTTTTAATATTTATACATATGCATTCTACTTTACTACACCTTAAAAAATAAGGAAAAAGGCTTTTCTTGTTCAGTAAATTTTCTTTCTTCATCTTTGTCAACCCTTTTTCTTCCTCCCCCCTTCTCTCTCTCTCTCTATGCCTGCCCCTACATGTAAACACCCACCCATGCATCCCGCTACACCCTCACCCAAATGCATTATCGAGTAATGCATACACAAGTTCTCACACTAATATGCATACAAACATAGGCAATACAGTTAACTCAAAGCTCACACTCGCATGCTCTTCAACTCACTTCGCACATACAGTACAATATTCAAACTTACATATTTTAGTACTATACACATGCACTTGCACACACATATGCAAATATGGATTACATTAAAGATAACACACAGTTACCAGCAAGTACAAACCTACAGTATATGAATAAAATACAGCTCCCTTTACTTTCAGAATCACATATACAGTAGGTAAGTGTGCATATGTCATTAATCTAACTTGTGTTATACAGTAAGACCTCAATAGCTTGATTTTCAATATCTCTGACTCCTGAAATCTTGGACATTAATAGACGTGCTTGGACATTTTTTTGTATAAGTTGGAAAATGTTAGCATGGTCATTTATAAGTGACCTGACAAATTTATTAGTGTTGTTGATCACCCAACTACTGTATAACATATATATATATATATATATATATATATATATATATATATATATATATATATATATATATATATATATATATATATATATATATATATATATATATATATATATATATATATATATATATTTGTTTGCAATATATTTAAGCAAAATGAAATAAGTCAGTCACTTGCTTCAAGTATATTATGAAGGGTTTGGTAATACATATGTATTTTGTTTTGTTAGTTAACTTGGTGATTTTTTTCACTATTAAAAAGTGTGTCTGGTACCTAAACTTTCACAAATAATAGTATTTCAGTATGATATGGCTGCAACAACACACAATAAATCTTCTAATTGAATCTTCTATCACATAAACAAGGTTCATCACTCTATAAATAACAATTGTGTGTCCCCACCTGCAGTGCTGGGTCCAGGTGTGATTACTGCACATTGAAAAAGGTGGATGATTCTTTAAAGTGTTCAAGGTCATACCACACAGCTAGTGCCCACTTTCAGCTGACTACCCTCCAGTTACTAAACATCCCAAAGCTGTCACACAGGATACTTGGTGACAACAAAACAAAGGCAGCCCTATAAGCTAAGAACTTGGTTAAACGACAGAAAGTACCGATTCATTTATCGAGTTATCGGTTCTGGGATCAATCTGTCATCCAGTGTCATTAATTCAGAAGCTGTAGATAGCTTTAAGAATGGTTATAACGCTCACAGAAGAGTGATAGAAAATGAATGAAGAAACAATATCTAAAATGTAAAGAAAATGAATGCATATCTGTGCATTTTACTGGTAAATCTTATTGAGTTTAGAATTTTTATTAGATAAGCTAGAAATTAATTCACAGAAGACTGACAAATGGAGTGAGAAGTATAGTTAAAAGGTAGATGAGCGACTTAATGATGTTTGGCAATGTACAATCAAAGATTATACAGTATTCTTCCCTGTTCTTTTCCATTCTACTTCCTGACCACCTTTCATACTCAAACCATTACAATTAATGTTAATCATAGAATGAATACTGTGCTGCTCATATCCCATTCAACTTTTTTCTCTTGACTTACAGTTTGATCTGCAATTCACACCATTCTTATTTTCAGGTGTGTTGGTCTGCTCTATAAAGATCTTTCCTAACTGAGCAAGTGAGTGAGAAAAATTAGTTTGTACTTTCAATCTACTCTTACTACAATGCTACAATTCCTTACTGCTTACATGTACCTAGCTCTCCTCACTAACACAGCCGGTGATCAATTCTACATCGCCCTTGCTAGAGTGTACTTACTGCTCACAAAAGATTTTTTTTATTTCTATGACTTATAAATGAATTATGAACAAGGGAATGAACGATACATCATAACCGACTGCAGGATAAGGACTGCCCTCCGCCTTCATGTCCAAACATAAAACTACCATTTAAGAGAACCCCAACACACAATAAGGTAGAACTATATACATTACTCCTTTTGATAGTATCTTTATCAAGTTAAGTTATATAATTATTTAAGAAATCAGTTGTATAAAACACGGTTTTACATTAACTGACTTCCTTTGTATCATGTTTGCTATTTATCAAATCTTTAATACTCAATGTTAACAGTCGAGTTTATGAATATTTTAGATGGTCACACATGGTGATCCACAACTTCTGATTGGTCACACATGAGCATTAAACAAGTAACGCTTTCCTCCACAATTTTAGAGAAAAATTAGTTAAAGTTTTCTAGTTAAACTTCAGGCACATTATGTATGGGAGGGTTATCTGGGGTTTACACCATGGAAGGCTCCACTAGTAAAGTAAGATACTAAAACATTACAGTATATGAAAAAGGAACACATTACTTATAGCATCAAATTTGAGATACCAACTCTTTCAGGAGACTTTCCTCCTTGTATTGAAGCCTTGCTAACTATATCCTTTAATTCTTAGTCTCCCCATGTTTAATACACTGTACTGTACTATAAAACCAGAGTTTGGTTAAAATCTGCACAGTCTCATTTTCTTAATATCTAAAACTGACAATTTGCTGATTTTTCAAAGACGCAATAATTATTAACCTCTGATATACTGTACAACTTTTGACTAAGAGTAACATGAACTGGTCATTAAACCATCAAGTGTTCAACTACTTAACCCTGGAAGGTGCTACAGTATCAGCATACACCACTATACTGATAATGAACACCTCCACTGCTAAATTATCATATTTTTCTGTCACTTGAATAAACTCTCTACTTTTATTTAGACCAACTTAGATACAGATTCATAAGTAAATATGCCAGGTAAACACACCCAAATTAGAGCCAAAAATACATGCAGTTAAGTCCCCCAACTCTTAAAACAATACAGAACTGTAGTGTACACAACATAGATAAGAGAATTAAGTCATGCAATGAGGAAGTCGTGCATAGTAACATCATTTTAGATTTTACATACAGTACTGTATACTGCTTGTAAGTACAGATATCAATATATAAAAAAATCATTAGCTATCCATTACATATAGTATTTTTTTTCATGCTGATATCACAAAAGAACTCATACAAGTTTACATGTTTATCTGCATTAGCAGAAATATGAATAAATTCTATTTAGGTAGTACATTAATATGACAACACACTTAGAAGCTTCACACTCACATTCATATGTCTTACACCTAGAGTAAAGTCATGTTATGAAGTTCTATGTAGCTTATAATTATCTTCATTAAAAGGACTAATTGAAAGAGACATGGACACATTAATTCATACATATATTGCTCTTCTTTTGAGGTTAGAGAAGTATAGGCCTGAGACGTGTGTAAGACACTTCCTCTATTGCCAAGTTATGGGAGATGTAATTCACACATATACAAGGACTGTACTGTATACCTCTACCTGATAAGGATCCTTCTGGGTTATATCATTATGTATTGACTATTATAAGGAAATCAGAAGAGCAACGGATGTACAATGCCAACTACATTCTAAGTACAATTACATAGTGTACACACAGTAAGTGTTGATACTAACACCTAATATCTAAATAAACATCATTTATAGAGAAATTAATTAATCTTATATAAACAAACCATAAATAAGGTCATTAGAAATTATATAAGATAACTCAATGTGTGAGAAGATTCACAAAGAAACATAAGACTATCTACTGGTATAAATATTAAAGTAGTGTGTATAGAAAAGCTGATTATTATTGTCGAACAAGAAATCACGTTAAGAATACAAAG